TTAATTTAAAATATTAAATATTACAACCAATCCTAAAGAACAAAGATGCTAGACTTATAGCTATTAGGATGAGTAGCTAGTATTTTATTACTGCAACTATAAGTTAAGCCAGTTTTTAGTATAATACATACATAAAACAACTCAAGGCCTTCAATACATAGAGACAGAAGTCTACAAAGGCTATGTTCCAAATGATCAAAGTATCTTAAAAGGGGGGGTTTTCAGATAAAGACTTAAAAGGGGGGATATCAACTTCAGTGAAATCAGGAATTATGATGTTTTGGAAGAATCTGCCAAAATTTACAAATTGCCATACTGACAATAGGCAAGATATAGAGATGCATCTGAAAAACAAACAAACAAAAAAGAACAATGATATAAAAATTTAGGTAGTGTTCAGAAAACAAGTTTAAATTAATGAAAAAGACAACAGTTCAAATAGAATGAGAGTCTGTATTTTAACACTTGGACACTATGTAGCTTAAGAATCAAACATTTTTGTCCTTGGAAACCTAGAAAAGAAATCTCAAAACTGAAAGGTCCGAGAGAGTAAAAACTATCTCATTAATAGAAAAGATAGAAAGACAATTAAAAATACCACAATTGTAACAACACAATTAAACGCCTGGAGCATCATCCCTTATTACCTGGAGATGAAGTATATTAAAGGCAAAAAAGACCAGAATCTTTGATGAATGGCTAATAAAGTTAGAAAAATTTAGACTGTATTTAATGTAAGGACATTGTAAAGCAATACAGATGAGCTGTTTCCCTTGTCAACAGCAGACCAAAAATGAACCAAATATTACAAAATTAATTATGGCAGATAAAATTTGCATAGACATAAGAACTTTCTAACTATTAAAAGTGAAATTATGGTGCCTATGATCCTTCATATCCAAAGCATATACAATAAACTACCACACTATACAAAGCAATAACAGAATCCAGGATTCACATCCTAGGGTAAGACAATTCTGATTTTGAATTCTAGTGTTGGCACTAAATAGGTATTACAACTTCAGGAAAAGTTCTTAATCTAAGCCTGTTTCTCACTTGAAAATGGGATTATCTACACTTATTTCATAGGCAATACCTCAGAGTATGTTACTGAGGATTAAATAATATGTAATACTTTAAACAAAGTGCTTAGCACACATATATCAAGCACAATGATAAAATAAATATTAGTTAAAATGATGAAAGTTAGGATGATCCAATTTACCCAAGAAACATCAGTAAAGTTTCCATTCATTACAACTTGTTCATAAAGCACTTTTATAATTTAAAAATGACTTCTCATTTGTTGTCCCATTTGATTCTCATAAGAACCTGTGATTAGACAGCAGTGACATTTCTATCTTATCATAGGTGGGGAAATTTATGCTGAGGAAGATTAAGAAACTTTGCCCAGCTTACAATCTTATTCAGTGGCAATTCTGGGACTAGAAATCTGGTCTTCCAACTTTCATTTGGTGAAGCTTCATCTTTTGAGCAAGTAAATACGTAAAGAAGTGTAGTCCTTTCTTTCCTGATCTCCCTTACAATACTGCCATGTAAACCTGGTCACAAAAATATTAATGAAAGGTGATGCATGAGCATGACTGAGTGACTTGATTTCCCTGCCAATTTTATGATTTTATATAATAAACAGTACAACATAAGCGGAAAGTTGCTTTCAAATGCTGTAGGCAAAGACAAACATTATTTCATATACCTTATTCTCCTTAGAAGTCAGCTTCAATTGCTCCAGTTCTTCTCTATGTTTCTGCTCCATTTCTTTTTCCAACTTAGCAACATCTTCAGTGAGTTGCTTCCTCCTCTTTTTGTCATTCTTGGGAACAGCATTCTTCATACCTTGAATTTTGGCTGAAAAGCCACCAAAATCATTAAGTCGGACACCCAGGAAAAAGAGGAAATGAGAAACAAGAACCAAGAAGGAGATAGTAAAGGGAGAAAGGTATACAAAAAATAATTATGGAAGCAAGAAGAGTCATCACATAACAATCAGACAGGTACAGGGAAGAGCCCAGATGAAGCTAAGACCCTTCCCCCGATTTTTTTTTAAAAACCCTCATTAACATAACCTTGAATTTGTTTGGGTTGTTTGATGGGACAGGAGAAGGAAAAAGAAAAAAAA